GAGAGAACAGATCGCCAAGTGTCACGATCCTTACATACCTCTTTCGCTTCTTTCAGATTCATTATGTTCTTCATACATGCACGTTATCTGATGTAAATAATTGAAAATTAAGTGCACAGCGTGATTTTATCCCTATTTGATGGAATAGTTCGTTCGTGGGTTTCTAATTACTAGTTACTAAATTCTAAATCTTCTAAAATTTAAATTACTAGTTTCTAATTACTATAAGGGGCCAACATAATGTTAACTTCGATTCAGGACACGTCAAAATTAAACAATATCTTTTGGGACTATTATAAAACTTAACATTGGCAGAATTCTATCAACAGAAGTCACAATTTAAAAGAAGAAGAAGAAGAATATTATAAGTTGTTTTGAACTGTAAAATGTTACGTTTATCGTTCAATAAAAAGATGAATTTAAGTTTTAATAATTTTAACTTCACTCGAGCAGTTCACAATTCTACTAAATGCATAGCAATAATTGATTTCGGAAGTATTCGACATTTTTTTTACATTTTTACATTATGAATGAAAAAGTCGTTGCGGATATGTTTATCGTTAATAGAATAGAATAGAATTATTTTTTTCAATATTGAATATTACATAATACTTATTGAAAGTGATTTCTTATTTACCACTATAGTTCGAAAAATACCTCAGTCCTAGGAAGAACCAGCAAGAAACCCAGTTACATAATTTCACTTAACAATAATTTTGTTTATACAATGTTTGAATGAATTTTCATAGAACAAAGAAAAATATAAATTGAATAAAAATGATCAAACTCTTAGCTTTAGCGTTAATCGCCTAAGTCCACATCTGGCGTTAGAAATTTATTATTAGTAAAGACCCCACGCCACAAAAAATTATGGAAAACAATTAGTAATTAGAAACACATGAAAGGAAACCAAAATAAATGAAGTATGCAAATCATTAGCAATACTGCCCATCACGATAAGGGAAATAGAATGTTTGGGGAATAATATATATTTCGAGAAGTAGATTGACCCGGCCCGCTAAAAGTCAGTATAGCGATTCCCGTTCAAATAAAATATTAAAGTAATAATATTTCATAATACTTTTAATACTGATAAGAAATATAAACTGCAAAGTCATAAGTAAAAGGTGTTTATTTTAATCCGTACATCGACTCTAATAAATCAAACAATCAGTGTTTTGAATTTCATAATCTTACAATTTTCTATTAAAACAGTTTCTCTAGATTGATATGAGTGAAACATTCAAAACATAATTTAGTATTTACATCGTTAATAATAATTATTATTATAACTAATTGTAACTAGGTAGGTACATAATAATATTTTTGAATTTTAAAGTTTTTCAACAAATTTTTAATATAAACCAAATTAATGCCGAAATTATACGGACTATATCTTTTACTACGGAAACAACATAGGTAGATGATTAATATAAATAATTATTTTAAATAAAAAGAAATAAACATTTTGTCAAAAGATTTTTATCGATCAGAAAATACCTTAATAAGGGAGCACTTTGTACTGTGACTTATAAAAACGACGCTAAAAGGACAAACCGATACGTCAACTTATTTTATATTTCAATATTCAATACTTCAAATTTAAGTAGCGGCACGAAAGTCTAGTGGTGACCGTTATTGCGCATAAGTCGCGCTGATTGGCTCGTGCATATCGTTCGCATGCACTGATTGGCTCTCCAGTCGCATTCGTGCAATTCAATTCGTGCGCGTCTACTCCACGTTTCGTTCAGCGCTAGACTTACGTGCCGTGACTTATAATATTCTACAAAAAATTGAATAACACAGATAGTAGATAAGATTATAAAGAAGGTTAATCGAACGGGAAGCTCTATAATAATGTGAAACGATTACATAATTTATAATTTTAAATTACGTTTCTGTACACATTTCTATAAAAAAAATATAAATCCTAATACTAAAACAAATAACAATAGGTCTATCTAGGGAGTTGTATATTGTATATACATAATGTATGTGGCACAGACTACTACATTTTAATACTATATTAAAAAGGAATGAACATCGATCACTAATGAAAAACTAGATATACAATCAGTGACAAAAAATGTCCTTACCGAATGAACGCCCTCTCAAACATTTTTAGACAATGAATTTAAAGTTGAATTTACATTAATTTATATTTATTTCAACAAGAATTACGTCAAAACAATTGGCAACAGTTTTTAGACCATGGGATTATGTATCTTGTTTTTTATTAGTGATCGATAGGGATGAAGTAGTGAAATTATAAAATTGCCAATATATTAAAATGCAACACAATAAACCAGTAAAGTTGCGCAAGTGATAACACAAACACAAAGGCACGCACCCATTTTACCGTTGTGAAGGATTGAACGATCAGCAGAACTTGGATTTAATGTCAGAGATAAGTGAGCAGACCTTCGGTCAATGTAACACATGTAAGTTGATAATGTAGTAACAATCATACGGGACAAATTACAATTCAATCCGATTTAGACCTAAAACCTGACTTTTGTGTAATGCACATTTAATGGCATCGTTATTTTATCCACATGCGTTTACTATATGTGGCTTTTATCTAAATATTAAACCAACATGTAACACACGTTTATATTATTCAATTGAGCCTGTTGGTTTACACAGTCCCTACGAAATATCAAAAAAGTCAACACAAAATAAACATACAGTTAAAAATAGAATAATTATCTATTAGTATGGAAGCTGTCTATGTGATTACTCATACTTTAATTTCTTAATATATTACTTTAAGAAAGTTCACTAAATTACAAATTTGTCTAATTTTTATCTACTATGTTTTTATTCTGCAACATAATGTTTTATAAGTTGTTAGAAATAAATACGATTCTGTGAAATGAACCGCTCGGTTAAATTTTATTTATTTTTATTGAAGCAATATTTTGTCTGACCACCTTAATAGATAAAGTTCGGTAAACATTTATTGTTTATAATAACAAGTAACTAATAAATACCAAATGCATTAATTAAATCTTAGTGCATTCCGAACTTCATTAATGTTTATTTCATGTTTGTAATTATATGTATATAGTAATGTAAACTTTAAGTATATTATCTTATCTACTTATTATTGAAATACTCGGTTCAAAAGAAGTTAAACCATGCTATTATCTATATGGTGTTTCATCAAATTATGCTAGAATAAAATTCATCCATCTAATTTCATATCATCTTAATTACATAAGGCACTCCAATAATTTTACTATTTTGTCCAAAAAGATTTGCATTTACATTCTATGATGCAATTGTTTAAAAAAAATGAAGACCATTGGAAGTTTATGGTATAATTATCTAAGTCGTTTTAAAAGCCTTATACTAATTAAAATACGTTTTAAAGTTAAGTAATAATCGATGGGAAATTATGAGAACATTCATCCATTATTTTATTTCTTTAAATAACTGAACTTTAGTATTTTAGGAATGAAAATAAACAAAATGGTACCATTTTCACAGAAAGAAAAGTTCATTGTGAATATTAGATTCATAAAAAATAAAATGATTAAAATAAAAAAGCAAATTAAAGAAAAGAACACTTATAACACCAAACTTTAACCATTTTATCACAGATCTATAAAATGAAAATAAATTCAAATAGATTGTGGCCGCTTATTATATATTAAAATTAATATAAATTGCGAAGAAAAGCCAATAATAGAAAAGAGCATAAAAAGTTAAAATACAATCTTCAACAAAATAAACAATCGGGTAAAAAAGAATGGCGCTTGAAGTTCATGAGCAGAACTAAATTACAACAGACACTTTATATTAACGTTGTTGGCCCCTAATTATTTAATTAAAAAGCCATTATATTCATAAGTAACCTGTTTAAAATGTATGAAATTTAACTACCTAAATATATTTACTTGATTTGTTTTGTTACTCTGGAATAATTTTAAATGTGTGTAAAATTTCACGCGACGCCTTTTGGAGCCCCCCCAATAAATTGGATTATATAAATGTTGAAAATTAATTATTTGCAACATTGATTGAATTGATTATGAAATTTATAATAACTTAATTAAAAATTTTTGTTACCATGAGAAGAAACCTATCAAATTTTTATATCTATCTAGGATAGCTATTAGTAGATGTCAATAACTGGAAAATTAACATCACATATAAATCCCATATCCTTATTGTTTGATACATATGAAATCGGTGTCATTGATAAAATTATTTTATGATTTTGAGTTATCTAACTTTATTTATATTTATAAAATAATTTAGAGAATTTATAGAAGATTAGCAGGAAATTTCTACCTATCACTTTGACGTCCTTTATCAATACAAGCTAACCGGTTAAATTGTTACTATTTTTAATTAGCTTCCATTTTTGACTCAAGTTCTATATTAATATGTAATTTAGCTAGGTTCTTATAAATTTCGTTTTATTCTCTGGTAATATTAGATTTCGTTGAGCTTATTGCATATCAATTATTCACGCGACAGGGTCGTGTATATTTGTCTAAACGTTGGTCCCTATTTGCTATTGTAATTATTTGATATCATATCCATTATTTGATATCGTAGTGACATAGGGCTAGCGGGGGGGACGCCGCGCGGTCAGCGGCCGGGTTCTCCGAATAAAGGCACATTGAATAATGATTCACTTTGTTTTTCTTTTTCTTTGTAGTACCTACCTACTAATTTTCTCCTCCCACATTAACAGTGGTTAACCCTTCATAGCGTCTTTCTAAAACTAGTTAAAGGGAATAACTAATTAAAATTCTACTATATATATTATATAATATTATGTATATGAATTCAACGTCACACCACTATTTATCCATTGATCTATTTTCGTACACGTTAAAAAATTTGTTATCACATCCTAGTTTTACGACATCGATTATTATCACCGATGTCGAACTACTCATTTTGGCAACATGGTGGTGGAACTACAAATTGTCTAATTTTAGCTAAGTGGCGACTTTCGCCTGGATGTATCGTTAGAAAAACGATTATTCTCGACAGTTCTCCTCGCATTTAATCTCACGGGCAGCAGGTTGCGAAGACCATTGCGCATCAGGCGCACTATCCCACTCTTGGAAAGTCTCAAACACAAAGTTTTCATTGGAAATATCCTCAACTTCATGTGCTACTTCGGCGCGGCTGAACGCTTCAGCAAATTTCCCTATCTCTGTGGATCCAAAGGCTTGTTGGAATGCTGGTAAAGGTACTATTGGCGGTCTTTTCTCTTCAGGTGGAGTACGACGAGGTTCACTAAACATACGCTCGCGTACTGGTCGCACTTCCTCTGACTGCGTGACGTTTCTTGCAGAAAACTCAACTATACCACTTTGCCTTCCATTATCCCCAACGTAGGGCACATCTTCGTAAACAGGATACGGTGTTGATCTTCCATCAGGGGGGCACAATGAGTTTTGATGATGTACATGTGGACCCTGTAATTAAAAGCCATGAAGATTTATACAATATGCCCAATATTTAAGCAAATTACACCTAATAGATCATATGAGCATATACCGTATGTTGTGGAAATTTATGGGGGAGGCCTACAGTCGACAATCTGCCTGCCAGTCATGGCAATTACGTTAAATCCTTCCCACTATGGGTGAGTCCATATTCAGCTATAAATTGTTTATAGACTGATTATGATGAGTAATATGATTATGTAATATCATCTTACGACGTTTACTTTCTACCCCAATCGCCGATTGTGTAACAAAAATTACAACATATTATATTAAAATACTATATAAATAAAAAGGTAAATAGTATTTCTGTATCTGCTTGTCTATGAGATTGTACACGCTAATTTCTATAATAATTTTAACCAATTAGTTTAAGATGCTTCTTAGTGTTTGTTTCATTACATCATTTCGTAAGTAGTAAAGATATGTCTTAATGCATGGAATATAAAGACGCATGCACAAGTCAGACGAAAAATCGTTGTTCGGCTGCTTTATCATATATTATACTAGATCGCCAAGCAGACTTTGTTCTGCACTTTACGACGACCCTTCCCATAAAAAAAAACGTTAAAAATACAAAAAAAATTGAAGGTCATTTATCGGAATAAAAAGTATCCTATCTCTCAAGTTGGACCAAACTGAACACAGTGTGCAAAATTTCAGTTCAATAGTTTAGGAGTCCATTGCGGTCAAACAATATGACACGTAATTTTTTTATATAACGACGACCCTGTGTCCTATAAAAAATCTTAAATTCGTGATAAAAAATATTGAGGGTCACTTATAGGGATAAAAACTATCCTATCTCTCAAGTTGAACCAAACAGCACACAGTGTGCATAGTTTCATTGCATTCAGTTTAGTAGTTTAGAAGTTCATCGCGGACAAGTAATTTTTATATATAAAGATTAATCCTTATTAAATCCTTGCTAAATAGAAGAAGAAGAAAATAGGTAGTAATAATAATTTCAGTGAGTATTTCAAGTGATTTGTAACGTTTGCATTGTTTTCTTAGTTGGTGTTGGTTGTGTCTGACCGCCGATTATAAAATAGAGTATCCAGTCACTTTATGTTAAGGTATATCATAAGGTAAAGCGCAGAGAGTAGCCGGTGTGAATCTCAGTATTAGCTGTTTTTCGCACAGCCAGCTCTACGTGGCTTTGTCGCGTGTTGGCAGCACTAGAAATCTTTACGGTTTTACTACAGAATAAATAATAGGTTGTACGTCCAATATTATATACAGGGAAGCAGTACTATAAAAAATAACAATAAGACACTAAACAGATGTCAGCTATCTTTTTGACGAATTCAAACTTTTTCCTTCCGCCAGTGTCATTTTTATAAATATTAGTCTATTTTAAATTCAACCTGGATACAGATGTGTATATGTTATTAATCTAAGGTTGAACCCATATCTATATACCTATATTTACTTTACCTGTTTTGTTCAATAGTTATTTAGTTACAACAGGTTATAAAACTAAATTTATATTTTATTTATGTTAGTCGATTTCATTACATGTATTAGATAACTACCTATAAAGAAAAGGAGTACTGCCACCATATTTAGTATTACGTAATAAAATTACTTATGACTTTAAGGTCATAGCATTTTGAATTTAAAAAAAACTTAATTACTAATCGTCATTTGAAATGCTCACACAACTTAAGAGTATATTTGTACACATAAAATAAATAAGAAATAACCTTAATCATGCGGTAATCAGAGGCCATGTAACGCATTTGCTCCCGAGAGGACATGCCCCGGGTAGCCCACGCGCCGCCGACAGCATTGGCGCCACTCCAACCGCCCCCACCCAGGAACCCCATCTACAAAACAATCTTATGAATCCTTAAAGCAATAAGAGATATTTTACATGTAAATGAAATTTATAATATTATATTCTTCTTATATTCGAATAATTACAGATTTTGTTTTAAGCATACTTTAAATAAACATAAAATACATAGCATAACATACATATACTCTCACACCTGTCAACCAAAGGGGGGAGACAGAAACTACGAACTTCAATTTAGCACGATCCTGACACCGCTCTCGTTTCTTTCAAATCCATGTACTATCTAAGCATATATGCTCGTCGCTTAAGGGTATACTTATCTTAGACTATTTTCAATATATCGAAAATTTAATCAATAAACTTACGCCTAGGACGTCTCTTGTCGACTCTGCCACTCACTTCTGCAGCATATATTTGCTTTTTTACTCTCTCCGCATTAATTCTTTTTACGTTTCCAAACCACCGAGGCATTCCTTTCTTAATCCTAGTCACAACATCTTCTTGCAAAATCCTACTTTTGTTTTTCACACAATTTTGTACCCTGTCATTCAGAGTCAGCCCTAGCATATTTTTAATGACTGCAGTTGTACAGCATTAAATTTACTCTCTTGCTTTTTCCAGCACACCCAACTTTCACTAATTTACATTAAAGTATAGACTAACCAGCATTGTGAATTGCCATACACACTTTTTTGGCACATTCTACCATGCCACAATAGAGCACAAAGCCTCATTTACTCTATATAGCATTCACTCTTCCTTCTATATTCTTGTCGTCTACCATCACTGCTAAATACACGCCCATAATACACAAACTCATCCACTTGCTCAACCAACTCCCCTTCTAATCTTATTTTGTCATTGTGCTTTCTTCTCTTTTAAAAGCCATCACTTTTGTCCTACCTGTGTCCACCTTCACTTTCTTTAATGGATAAATTTATAACGTTCACTACATTCTCTATAAGAAACAATGCAGCTTTAAGTTGCTATTTCATGCTGGTATTTTGTGAGATCGTCGTCCTTCCCCGGTCAAGCAGATCCATTCGTGCTACAACCATAATATAGCTGCAGCATAGCTGCACCGCGCTGGGCTAAGTCACTGCACTGTTGTATTTCACTCAATAAGTAAATTATTAGAATAAAATAATGAAACCCACTACAATGATCCCTACTTCTGTGGATCCAGAGACTAATAAATAGCAGCATTCGACAGTATGTTCTAATAAAGAGCCAAGGAGATACCGGGAATGAAGATAAATTTAACGATCATCATTCTCCATTTTCCGCACTTCGAAATTAGATATCGCACTTAAGTTACCGGAGGTGACAAAGTAACAGAGATACATAGATTTATACAACAAAACCGTGTCATTGCGGTGCAAAATATCTCATATCGTACCGTAGGTATCATAAGAGGTCACAGGGGAGACTGAATCAGGAGATTGGCAGCAGCATCTTTGTGATAACAACTCAAAATAATAAAAAATTGTGGTTGTCCACCCGCCTGCCAAGCATGGCAACTATGGCAAAATGTTATCTATCAGTGAATCTATGAAGGAAGCCTATGTACAGCAGTGGAGTTTTATAGGCTGTAATGGATGGATATCTACAGCAAAACACTATCATCCATTTGGAACCATCACGTAAAAATTCCCTTTGTTTTCTATTAATCATGTTCTAATTCTTTCCAACAGTGGTGGTTATTTTTTTACGATTCACTTCTGCAATAGCAGCCCGTAAAAATCCATTACCATACATGGACTTTCCAATTACAGGGAAGATTTTTAATAATCACCACGCTTGGTAGGGAGATTGGCGATCAGAGTTCCATTCCTTTTGCACTTTAGAAGCCGCTTACTTACTTACTTACTTATCTTCACGCACAATCCCTGACGGGGTAGCCAGAGAGAACAGATCGCCAAGTGTCACGATCCTTACAAACCTCTTTCGCTTCTTTCAGATTCATTATCTTCTTCATGCATGCACGTCTAGGTATCCGAGTACTTTTGACCCTACCCTCTTCGAGCAATTTGCTCACATGGTTTTAGAAGCCGCAACCCGATATATCTTTAAATCACCATCTATCGGAAACTATTCTAGCATTTCCAGTAATCAGCTCTCACTACACCCACGGGACGAAATGTACCACCATTTTGTGCCGGCGTAAAAGAATCCACAGTCCTATTTTGAAGATTATTCCTTAAAAGAGCTTAATTTACTTTTATGATTTCACTTTAATTCAGATAACATTCTTGACTTTCATAATTACCTGATAGTGCGGCCACATTTGCGACTCACAAAAACTGGCACCGCGACCAGTCATTCCACATTCTGAAGGTGGCTGAAAGATAACATTACGCATTAAATATTTTAAGGAGATTGTGACATTAATTCAATTTTTTGTATAGAAACCCGAAACATGTAAAAAAATTATATACACAAAAAAATTTTTACACCAAAATAAATGTCCATTTCGAGTAAATCAAGTGATCTCCTATTTCAGTAAAATTTATTTTAGAATGAAATTCTTCCCAATAGTAACATTTGTTTGATCTATTTTAATCACCATAATCAACATTGCCAAACACAGTCTAATGCTGCATATAATTATTATACATCCTAAATTAATTACGTGGTAGAGTCATGCTGCAGCTTTATTAGTAGTAAAGTTGCACGAATGGATCGGCTCGGGGAAGGACCACGCTCTCACACAATACCAGCGTAAAATAGCAGATTAACACTGCTGTGTTTCGTATGGTGAGTGTAGAGCACCGGAGTTTACTGGAAAAAAGGCATTCCATCTCAGTCCTCACGTGTGACAACGCATCTGCATTTTGTCTATAGGCCACAGCAACCACTTACCATTAGGTGGATTGTGTACTCGTTTTGATAAATGATCCCTATCGTATAAAAAAATTGGTGCGGCAAACAGTACATATATTTAATAGTTTATTACAAATTACATAAGCATTATGTAAGCAATGAGAAGCACTTGAGGAACTCCTACGTCTGTCGCTCGTAGTACATGCATTTATCGATTGTAAGCGCAGTGTGAAACACAATTATATAAACATTTCTATAGGTTACGAGTACACGACAATTAGCAGAACGCCTTGTACTGTTACTTCTAACGCTAATAGTAAAATTACAAATTTGTTTTAACTTTACAATAACATACAAAATATTATCATTACTGCACGACGCATTATGTTACCCTATATACTAATAATGTACTACTATCTACTAGACATCCAAAATTAAAATAGCATTAACTATCTTTGTCTGCCAACTTCTAAAAAGGAGAATGTACTCAATTCGACTGTATGTTTTTTTTATGTGTGCTACCTCATAACTTCTCACTGGGTGAACCGATTTCGATGAATCTTTTTTTATTTGAAAGCGGGTGCTTCCTATGTGGTCCCATAGATAGATAATTTGATTAAGGTCTGACCAATAGTTTTTGAGTTATTCTTAATAATTTATATTGAAGTCGATTGTACAATTGTTTAATTTAAAATAATTTGTTTCCCATAAACCAAAGCAAAGCAAATTCAAGTAAATTCACCTTATAAAATTACTTTTTACCTAAAGTTACTTTCAGTGTTTTACTTCGAATTAAATAGCGCTGTTTTTCTTACATTAGACATTTTCTGCAAATATTTCGATAATAATTTTATATAAAGTTCCTATTATTTTTAATTACTAGCGATCCACTCCGGCTAGCACAGATGATTTCTGGACAACAGCGCCACCTAACGGGTCCAATTGTGAATATAAACCATTCAGTCAAATACACACAAAAATTTCATCAAAATCAGTTAAGCCACTTTCGAGTTTTAACGAAATTTACGGACTGCTATTAATTTATATAGATTTAAAATTTATTGTTTTAACCTTATAAATTAAGGTAACAAAGAGTGGATTTAACACCTAAAGGCATTCTCTACCAGTCAATCCATTATGATATCGATTAATTTACTGCGAGAAACTAAAAACAATTTGGAAAATCCAAAAGTGCACGCCTTTTGATGAAAAAAATAAATTACCAAAATAAATCGATTACAAAAAGTACTCGTATAAAATCGATATATAGGCTGTATGGCATATTTATCTTTTATCTATCAAGAGCTAAAGAAGTAAATGAAAGCGCCTTTAAATTTTTAATAGCAGTGAAATTTATAAAACTTGTAAATCATTTTATTAACAACCAGTAAGTAGTAACCAGTTGACGTAATTCTGATGCTAATAAAAAACACGATCTCGATACGTTAATTTTTTCGGGAGTTATCGTGACCACATACAAAATCAATATTCGGACGTCCATGTAAAATTTTTTGCAAGCCATTTTTTATCAAGTAGATATATAAAACCATTTTTTAGAAAATATAAGATGGATCAACTATAGTCTATAACTATAGTCGTATAAGTGCAATATTGTTATAATAGAGGCATTTTAAGACTACAAAATTGCTTCACCTTGACGTGTCGTGAGTAATACACCACCTAATAACGCTTCGCGTTATGTGGCGTGCAATAGAATGCCACTAATTATGTACAAACACCTTTATCGGATGAATATATATTTAATTATATTGAAATTAATATGCAATACACCTGTCCACAGAACAAGAAGACAGAATATGATTATAAAAAATATCAAAAACTATCATATTCATATTCTAAAAAAACCTTAAGTCTTGATAAAAAGGAAATTTAGTTTCAGGAGGGATGTCTCGGTACAACCCCATGAATTACGCAGTCATAAAGTTTTATTTAATTCGCAATTAAATAACTTTTATCGATATTATATCTAAACACAGTGAAACATTAATAACATTAAATTTAATTATTTAATTATTAGAATAAGCTTGACCGTGAAGCTTTTGCGTAATCATGCACATTCGAATTACTGTCAAAGCTGTTATTCTTACAACACATAAATAGTTTCATAGTCGTCATGATCGCTTAGCAAATTAGGAAATGCCTTTTTTCTATTTTTGAAGAACATATTTAGCAAACTATATATAATATATCCCGGGTATTGACTTATGATATATAATTTATAATGTTGAATGTTGTTCCTACGGCGAAAATTTTCCACGAAAATGTGATATATATATCCAAAATCATAACGACAACTATGATCTGAAAGAATCATCATAACAAAATATTTGCATTGCATTCCATACATAATGTACGAGTACACTTAATGTACACAAAGATTTGTCAATATTTTTGAAAATTAAGGTAGTGAATTTTTGTCAATGATTCGATATATATCATGAGACATTTATTTGGTGAATAGAATAGAACGCAATGTGCGTATACCATCTGTGTAAGAGATAAGCCTTAAATGTGGTGGGTGGTGTGTTGTTGGAAGGAGGGTGAGGTGAAGCGACAACGCGCTCGGTCGCGCCACCGATCGATGTCCGTCACTCCTAGTGCACTTTTGCGTTGCAGTAACTGCATCCGTCACATCTTAGTCAAAATCTTCTTTAGTAATTAGGCATCTTCCATTCATTTTAATATTTATTTATATTTCATGCATATTATTAATCAAAATTCATGGTCAAAATACAATAATTATACGTAATATATATATTTTCGAAATGATTAATAACTTATTGATTATTATCTAGTTAAGACTGTAATAAAATAATATTGTATAATCATAATACCTTTCAAAACATTTGTCTAAATTAATAAAAAATATGGATAATTTAAATAACCCCATAGCATATTGGTTACCCGCACCGTAGACAATGCTACGCGGCTACGTAGCTTCACAAACTAAAGTAAAATAAATTACAACAGACTTAATAACATTGTTATTTTAAAATAGTTTGTTATCAAAAATGCATTATATTTACAGTTGTTTTAAAAATAATAATAATTTAATTTTGCATTTTGAAAACTTTCGTAATATTTATTATTTAATTATAAAGCCTTATATTAAATCTAACAATGTAACGCTATATGGGCGAGGCGGAGTAATTACCGATTGCCTCGAAAACGGCTGAAACCAGCTCGTACGTGTACATTAGAGTAGTGGCGGGAGATTTGCGGAGGCTCTAACTATCGAGCGACATGAGCGCGGTGTGAACCACGTGACTTATCGATCAGCGCGGCGCCCACGACACTCAGAAAAATCAACCGCTGACAGCTTTCATGGTCTGCCGCACCCCGCACGCCCCTATCCGCTCAACGCCCTACGCCGCCCTCATTAGCGCCTTTGTGCCGCTTACTTGTCTCGTAATATGACGCCGTAATGATACTACTTCCAACCATATCGTAGTTCCGTCTCGTTGTCAATTTAATTTTGGTAATAATCTTAAATACGAGCCACTTTAAGATTATTACCAAAGTGCAAGTTTCAGAATGTACAATAAATAATTTTAATTACACAATATTTATTTAAAATCAGAATACTTTTTAAAATTACCAAATATTTATGAGCACTTCTGTTAAGTAAAAATTGAAGTAGTGTACATTATCAATCATTTTACTACTAATATTAAAACATAAATTTATCGATAATAAAATTTTTAATGTCTTCTTATAATTATCTTAACAATCACTTCATCGTGGAAAACTATTTGAATCGAAAAGTTTTAAGATAATACGCAAGTGCTGAAATGATTTCGACTTTATGCGTAACTCGCACGATAGATAAATGCTACGAGAGTAAATGCATTTGTAGTAACTTTATGAACTGTCCTTGACACTGACCTATTTAACGAGTTTATTGAGAACAATTTAATAAGTATAATAAGACTGTACATCATTACTTTCCACGCAGAAAATAAATTTTATACATTGTTTAATTGAACCATGAATTAGAATTAAACGCGCTCAAGGTCAAATTAAGTTTTACAATTTTAAGTAATAAACAGTTTTGTACTAAATATGTTCAAAAATTAAATATAACCACCTCCTTCCACCAATTTCTTGAAAATCAACAAAACTTCTATGAATAAATGTTTTTCAAGTTTTTGTGACATCAAAAATAACACCGCTCTATTTATAAACTCAAAAGTAACATATTTAAAAATAATAAAACATTATTAGGAAGTGGTCAAAATAGAAATTGGCCAAGATAACATTGAGACTAACATCACCATCCTTATCACTACCATCATCATCATCATCATCATCGCCAGCTCACAAAGTCGGAAATATTTTATGTTGTAGGGAAGATTGGTTTAATCGTAACTCTCTTTTCTTCATTGCCTGCCAACTACAGGGTAAATCAGCACTTAAATTACAATTATTGTGAATTGCAATTTTGATTTTTTACTGATAGCAAACTCAGTTTGTCTTGCGTAGGTGAACAAATTAATGTTTGGATTTGGCATTTTGGGTTCTAACCCCACGCGAAAAGTATTTGTATGATCTGCAAATTATTCCGATATTTGAATGGTTATCCCACGTCCCCGCGATATAAGAGTAATTCCTAGTGGTATGTGTAAGGTATTATTCACAAAACATACAACGTTTTTTCTAAAACTATGGAAAATTCCTAAAAGGTTTTATAGCCATTTAGGAAGAACTTATATATACTTAACCATTTTGTATTTATGCCACTTGTGATGCAGATTTAAAGTTCAGCGATAAAATACATCATCCAAGATATTTTGATACTGTAATCGCCAACTTAGAGCTTCGGTAGCATAGCGTATACAATAAATTGGACCTTTTTACTATACACTACGCGATTATTGTAGACATTCCATTTGTATATATAATAACTAGTCCTCTAAATTTAAAAATATGGTCAATGCGTGTATTTATTTATTAAGTGTAACGTAATGAACAAACAAAAGAACTTACCGTATGTGGGAGTGGCAAATGGTGCGCTGGAGTATGTGCGCGCTGATCCCTGCGTGACAATGCCCTGCGTCCGCGTGACTCCTTGGTAGCATATGCGCCATAATCTACCAGAAAATTAATAAATTATGTTTTAAAAAACTCAAAATACAACACAAGCATTAGTGATGTATATTAGTGTTTTATTTGTAATAAGCCTTTAAGTTTTAGAAATAACTACAACACTAAAAAAAAATTGCATATTATCAAAATCATCTTCGGTTCTCCAAATGGTAAAATTTTAAACTTTATCTATAAGGATGGCAGACGGTCGTTAGCTTGCTTATCTGTTAATTAGCAAGATGCGCCGCGGGCAGGTAAGATTGCTGCTTGGATGGAGCTGTCGTCATGCACCCTTACAAATACTTAAACATATATTTATAACATATGCACATATATACATATACATTTTATATACCATTTTGTTGTGTATATGTACATATGATATACCATTTAGTTTAATATTACTCCTAACAAACACTTCTCATGTTAAGAAGAATAGAAAGACCACATTTGTTCACTTTAGCTCACAGTTATGGTTTCTTCTTCCCTATTTCATATTTTCTTCCAGATTTATTAAGCAACTTTTTTATTAAGGGACATATGGTAAAATAACATTAAAGAGTTCATGATTTATAAAAAACCCCTGAGAATGAGATGATTGCTACCATGCTTTACAAATGTTTTCATACCTAATTGTATTAAAATATTTTTTATTAATACTATTAAGTATGAAAACTAAAATAAGTCCAAAGCTTAAATAAAGAGAAATTATTTATAATATTAAGTTTAAATAAATAGAATAATTTTTAAAATAAGTCCATTAAGAGTTCTTACTAGTTCTTTCCTTGGGAAGAACTAGCAACCTGACTCTGTCCGGGCAGAAGATTTTTTCTAACCATTGGTAAAAGTATATTTTGTTATTGTTTTTTATAGGATAAGGTGACAAACGAGCATACAGTCCACCTGATGGTAAGTGTATTGTGCGAGAGCGTGGTCCTTCCCCGGTCCAGCCGACCCATTCGTGCTAAAACTATACTATACTGCAGCATGGCTCTACCGTGTATAAAATAAAAGCTTTTCAATAAATATTATTGTAGTCTATATTGAATAAAAATAATTCTATTGTATTCTATTTGAATATATCCTCTCTCGATAGAGATTTTATATGATTAACAGTAAAAAAAGTATAACACCACGGAATAAATGTATATAGGTGCGTTATAACTTTCGCTAAAATCGATGAAGGACGCATTGCTGCCCTCGAGTATTGAGATGGAATGCCTCGTTATCGTGTTTTTATAAAATAAGAGTGACAAAATAGTTAATAATCCACACTAAAATACTTCTCATAATTCTCTCTCAATAATTCTCATTACGTCACATGATAGATGTGGCAAGGACATAAAGGGGGAACTTTATTTTTAACTATTATAAACAACAAGTAATCAAGACGTAGCCTTAGAGGGTAAAACGTACTGACTTAGCTTAACAAAAATGCCTTCTTGCCTTGAAAATATCGACATTGTAATGGATGAAAAGAAAGCTGGCAAATGATTTCACTCTTTTGCCGTACGCATTACGAACTCAAACAGTCTTAAATATTTTATTAAATACTTAAACATTTGATCAAGCATCAGCAAAATATTCAAAACTTTGTTGTAATAATTTTAAGAAGCCTTAACAATTGCCACTTTTATATCAAGACGCAATGGAAAGGAACAAAAACTTTTAACTTAATTTATTATATCGTTTCGTTATTGTTTTCGTTTATATAACAACATTATTACACAAGTTAGCAAAACTGTAACAAAAATATTTAACAGCATATTGCATTTACATTTCCAAAAGATTTAACGATATAAAGTGAAATACAAATCGGTTAATGTCGCGCGCGGGTTAAATTGCGTGTTAAAGGATCTTATCTCCATATTCATTCATTCATTACGCAGTTTATCACACTTTGCTACGTTTGACTTTTAAGCTGTTATTTTATTGAGAACGCCATTTTGAACAACTACTAAAGATGCTAAGACAAAATACAGACACTGACTTAAGAGGCTGTTATGCTTATATTATTTTATTCGTTTTAGTTATTTAATGTAAGCTTTTACTTTTTATTAAAAATTAAATTATTTAACTTATTTGAGCAGACTAAGGAATATCAAAAGCTCAAGGTAACAACTAGAACTTTTTATAGTAACCTCAAACAGCTCATCCCCTATTTGCCCAGCCTTAGGGTTCAAATACATTCTCCAATTTTTATAATGGACCACTCCTGAAGTTACCATTTAATAATAAAAATAAAAGAAGCAATAAAATCGGTTCACAATTGACGAATATATATAGCGGAACACACAAAATTAAGAACATCTAGTCGCATTGAGAAAGAACGAATCCTCCCTTTATTCAAATTGGCTAAAAGGGGACATTTTACGATGTGGAGTGTCCAGTACTTCAGTTATTATCAATCCTAATGCTATAAATAGGGAATATGAAAAATATATACAAAGATATTTATAAGTATAGCTGGATAAGACGATAATTGTGTATAATTATTAATGGTTTATCTAAAATTTACAGCACAGATCTGTAAGAGACAGGTAAAATATTTATAAATATACACTCAAGACATTAAGCCCGCCCTTTGTATTCTTTTGTTTTAACTAATGCATTAAAGAATGAATAAGTAAAAATAAATAAATGAATATGCACACCACATTTTCATTTTGTACGTGGTAGAGCCATGCTGCAGCTATATTAGTAGTATAGTTGTAGCACGAATGGGTCGGCTCGACCAGGGAAGGACCACGCTCTCATAGAATAATACCAGCGTCAAATAGCAGCTTAAACTGCTGTGTTTCGTATGGTGAGTGTAGAGAACCGGAGACCCTTTTTACTGGAAACGAGGCATTCCATCTTAGTCCTCACGGGTGACAACGCATCTGCATTTTGATTCACAATCGAGAATAAATGTAGATTTTTATGGGCCACAGCAACCACTTACCATAAGGTGGACTGTGTGCTCGTTTGTCACCCTTATCCTATAAAAAAAACTATTTGCAATAGTTGCCACACTTAACAGGCGGGTTAGCAACTGCGTTTCAGTTTCCCTCTGTCGACTCTTACGACACCTATGGGTGGATTGTGGATTCTCTTAAGTCACCATTAGACTAGTGTTACATACACGAATAAGCAAGTAAGTTCTGATAAATTTCCTTTGTATCCTCTCTGTTTATATTACTTTAGAATAATAATACAGATCTAATATGAATGTCAAAAAATCATAAAATAATATATAATATTTATTATTCATTTCAAACCTACAAAGAAATTTTAATTGATTTAAGTTATTTTAAAATCCTAAACAATATATGAGAAAAGTAATAAGAAAGTCTTTTCGTACACGTGATCTTTAATAAATATTACGTAAGACTGAAAATGACTGATCTGTTAATGCAGTCAAGAGTTGTTTAACCAAGTACATATATGTATACAGTGCATAAAAATTCAGCCTCAAAAATTCAAAGCAAGTATACATCCGCGTAGTAAAAGTAGCGACGACGCCCGTTTTACGTAGCGTGGGCACGAAGTTGGAAGCGAGAGGCAACGCGGGTGTTAGCACCCCGGTCAATATGTAGAGTGGCGGTGGCGGTACTGGTTGTGCGCTGTGCGGGCAATCAATCGCGTCGGAGGAGAGGGGACCACCTGTAGAGCATATCCCCTCCCGCCGACCCTCTCTGAACGTCCTCCAACATCGACACGTGACGTAGACGCGGAGAAATCCGCCCAAACGTAAACATTAATTCTTACTTCATTCTTCATTGTTCAGAATGTCGCCGCGCCACGCGTGCGAATTCCGATCTCTCTCGTATTGGTAAACAAACTTCGAGCTCCGCTTGTATAAGGTTAAACAAAATGTTTGTTGACCGTAGATCGACAGAGATCTTTATGACTCAATCATGCTCCTAATGAAACTTTTTACTGTAATAGATTACATTAAATTGATTTCAGTCGAATGTTTCCACTTTTTATAATTAAATAAGCATTTTAATGGAAATGAATAACAGAAAATTTATCGGAATATGCGGAAACTTAATAAGTTATCACGGTTTTGAAGGCTTCAAGACAAAAGTGACAAAAGGTCTTTTAAGATAAATCGTCGTATATCATCACTTGCCATACATTGTAGAGTTTCATACGTGGTAGAGCCATGCTGCAGCAATATTAGTAGTATAATTGTGGCACGAATGGGTCGGCTCGACCAGGGAAGGACGACGCTCTCACAGAATACCAGTGTAAAATAGCAGCTTAACGCTGCTGTGTTTTGTATAGTGAGTGTAGAGAACCGCAGACCCTTTTTACTGGAAAAGAGGCATACCATCTTATTCCTCACGGGTAACAACGCATCTGCATTTTGATTCGCAAACGAGGACAGATGAAGATGTCTAAAGGCCACAGCAACCACTTACCATCAGGTGGACTGTGTGCTCGTTTGTCAACCTATCCTATAAAAAAACTTGCCATCAGTTGGAATACTAGTCAAACTATGGCTTTGGCGAAGCAGCTATGGCAATTATCCTCTCTATGTGGCAATCTATAGGGGAGGCCTATATTCAGCAGTGGGCTTCAAGATGCTGTAATGATACTAATTTTGATGATAATGGGTTAAACGGGTTAAAAAAAAAACAAAAGACAAAAGATAAAATTAAATAATAATATAAGACTAGAAAATCCAAAACAACACGCATCGATCCCAAACTAATTATTTTATTTTGTCCTTGTGATACTGATCGGGATACTAGAACATATGCTTGTAAATCCTAAAAACCATTTATATCAAACTAATTTCAAATGCATTTAAACTATCTTATATATTTGAGTTACTTGTAAATGATAGAGCCACGCTGCAACAATATTATGGTTGTAGCACGAATGTGTTGGTTGGACCCGGGAAGGACCACACTCTCACAGAACACCAGCGTAAAATAGCAGTTTAATGCTGATGTGTTCGTATGGTGAGTGTAGAGCACCGGAAAATCGTTTTGCTGGAAACGAGGCATTCAATCTTAGTCCTCAGGAGTGACAGCATAATTTGCATTTTTATTCATCATCGGGGATAAATGTAGGTGTTTATGGGTCACAGCATCCACTTACGATCAAGTGGTCAGCTAGTTTTTTACCCTAATTCTATAAAAAAAATATAACATGCTTGCGTTATTATTACCGATAGTACACCACTTTAACAAATAGACTTTGGCACCCTTAGATCATTATAAATGTAATTACCGCACATGCCAGATAATTTTCTAACACACTTTTAAACAATTCAATTTAACTGTTTTGTTAAAGAATTTACTTTTAATGTTGGGCATTAATAAAAACAGCGTCGATGTTACTTGAATTGCTTCAATGGAAATAAATATAAAAGAAATTTTCCAAGAACAAGCAACCCCGCGAAACCATCTAAACTTTATAAAACTTTTAGCGAGCGTTTATTGTTCGCTTAATATTTCCTAAGGGTTGACCCTTAAATTTTTTTTACGGGGAAAGTTACTTACTTAAATATTATTTTTGTGAATAAGAAATATTAATGTACTTTTCATTTATTTTTTTATTTTCTATTATTTTTAAATCGACAATCGAAATTTATTTGTGCTAGGAGTTTAATAAAGTCATACAAATACAAACCCATAGGCATGGCATGCTCATTGTGATGTGAGTGTGGTGTGGGATAGTCGTAGCGATAGTATCGCCCGTACGGATCTTGCGCGTGCGGCGCGTAGTAGCCGTGCGCGTAGGGCGCATAGGGCAACGCGTAGCCGTAGCCGTCCCAGGCGGCGCCCGTGTACTGCCCGTGCGCGTGGCGGAACTCGCCGTAGTTGCAGCAGTCCATGGCTGTGCGCCTACGCAGCCGGCAGCGCGCACGCCGTCCGCGCCGCCGGCCATGCTCGCGCGCGCGCGTATACCGGCATCACTTCTGCGCTCGCTCAGTCTACCTCGAAGTTGTGAATCCTATATTCATAATTACTTTGCCGCCTCGTTCATTATTTGAAAAAAAAATAGCACTGTTTCAGTCCGGAAAAACAGCAGCAAAAACTCAAAGTATTCCGCGTGTCACCAAGTTCGAGCGCAGTTAAGCGGCGGGAAACGACGCGGCTGCGACGTTAGTTAGCTAAAAGAGGTCGTTCGAGTTTGCCGGCGACGGCGAGAGATTTGAGCGAGGAGGGATAGTGGCGCGGGGCGAGGGCGGGCGCTCGCCGGCGCTCGGCGCAGCGCGGCGCTCGGCGGACGCCGACTGAAGGCGCCGCGGAATCGATACGCCTGCCGCCACTTGCCCGCGCCCGCACTACCTGCCCGCGCCCGTATTGCGCGCGAACTTTGTCTTCCCCAACGGAATTTTATATTTAGAACCATGGTGAAACAATTGATCAATACTTTGCACTATTAATTAGTACACACTTTCGCTGGATGTGTGCTAAAATAGCGTCTCGATTGAGCGGATCAATTCTATATTGTTTGAATAAATTCTAATAACTTATAGGCATTCAAAACTTATGCGTCAGTATTTTTTATTCCCTTGTTTTAAACTTACCTAACTACTTTTAACAAATAAAATTAATTTAGGAATAAGTAACATGACCAAACTATCTATAAGACTAGTTACCGATTTGAAGTGTTAACCATAAACAAAACAAGTACAAGAAATAAAAATTGATAATAATTTTTAATTTATTCAACGCAAAAAAGCGAGTATGTATATATAACATTACCTGTTGCATTAAACAATAGGACACAATCATCCCATATCCAAATGGAGAAAACTTGCAAAGTTTTATCGAATTGCGCGTAGGCGTCAGTGACCCATATCGGTGATAGTCATGCGGCGCTTCACGCACCCGCCTTGCGTCCTTCGCCGAATTAGACCTCTGTAATCGCATACTTTATTTACCATTTGTATGCCTAAACTATAGGATAATATTTTAATAGTTAAAGCAAAATACTTACTTTAAAAATTAATGACATACGACATCATGTTATTATAGACGACCTTAACTTCCAAAGAAATAAATTCTCGCGGATACTTTTTATTTAAAAAAATTAATTCAAAACATATTGGAGCAAGCAGCTTGAACTTAATACAATAATTCAATAGCAAAGGTAAATATTTATAAAGTAAAAATTTTAAAAATCAAAAAATCATTTAATCTGAAATTAATCACCCTTATGCTAAATTTAATCGCTTAATTCTGTACCTACCAATTAAATTACTTCTAGGGTGAAATCTGTCACTGAAATGAATATTCATCTGCAGACAGTCTGTTGCGTTAGACGTGCCTATGATAAGAGCGCGAATACTGATAACTTATTTCGCTGACTAGTTAACATACGACATAAAATTTTGACATTCACATATTTTGCAAGGTAACAATACTTTAAGTTACTAATTTTATCATACCACAGGCACTTTATTTTAAACTGCAGAAAATAAAAGGCTTTTTTATTTATTATTCTGCAAAGATAAGTTACTCATAAATAAAGTTGCTCGTGTTTGAAATATAAACTTTACCTTTAAGTAATTCAGCAAGTGATATATACTAGTTTTAGTTTTATTTTATTATAGATTTTACCCTTCAGCCTACGTGTTTATACTGATTTGACACCTCATCATTTCAGAGTGGGTTTTAGAACAATTAGTACACGGTGCTGCCCTAAACCGTTTTGTCAACTCCATATGTCAAATGAAATTAAATCAAATTCATTTATTTGCATAATACAGGTATAAAAGTTGTTACAGAAAATTTGAATATGTACACTGTGTACCTTATGAGGTGTGCAATTCAATATTAGGCTACAAATTACTAATTGTCCTCAAAATATTATATTCCTATGTTTCCGATGTTTTCCTTTACCGCCGAGCAAGTGATAAATCGGCACTTAAAAGCACTGTACGTGGGATACCCAGGTTCGATCCTCGCCGTAACGAACGAAACTATTTACAGTTAAATATTATGTATGAAGTACAGACCAAAAATAAAATACCTTTGCCAATAGCAAAATAAAAATAAGCTTAATTTGAAAAATAGATCTAATTGCCATTACTTAAACATCTCTACATAGTATAAAACAAAGTCGCTCCCACCGTCTGAGATCTTTTAAACTACCCAACGAATTTTGATGCAGTTTTCATCAATAGACAGAATGATTCAAAAGGAAGGTTTATATGTATAATACATGCATATTGTAAATTATATAATTCTTCTATTCGTGTGTTTGTGAATGTGACTGAACTACTCCTAAACGGCTGGACCGAATTTGATGAAAATTTTGTGTGATTCAGTTGATTAGAAAATGCTTTAGATTCACAATTGGGCACGGTAGGTAGCGTTGATGTCGAGATCCAGAAATTAACCGTGCGAAGTCGGGGCAGATCGCTAGTTAATTATAAAAAAAGTTGTCACTACTAATTATTTATGTTAACATTCATTTATATCATTATTTATATTAATGTTGCTTAAGCGATACTTATTTGTGTATGTATCGAATTTTGACGAATGCTAACTTTATTGGTACGCAGTGTTCACTTCAGAAAGAGTTGGTTAGTTTAAAAGTAAAGTTTGCTAAACTTGGCCGTAGTGCCCGATAAACATTGGCATAATCTTTTGAAAATACCAAACTTATGGCCTAATACTCAAACGCTACTCAATTTTAAGATGTCGTTAAATCTCGTGTCACAGTCACTTTGACGTAAAATGATAGAGACAACATGAGACTTAACGGCGTCTTAAAACTGAGTACCATTTGAGACATTAATCCCACAGACTGGTGACGGGAACATTTGCAAGTTTGAGTGTGACGGTTTTACGTTCACCGCGCGTTCCTGTCTAGCGTCGTTCATTCGTAACAGCCAATCAAAGTCCACTGATTAACATAGGCCTTTCCGTAGATTGAGATGAGATAAGGGATGTTTGCCATAGTTGGCGCAGTTTTTAAGACGCTGCTTCCCGCCTCCTGGTTTGTTTCTCTCTGTCACCTCTTACGACACCCACTGAACGATATGGGATATTCTTACGCAGCCAGTACACGGTTATATAATATATAGTATACTTTAAAGGTTGCACACCTTCAGTTACTAAAAGGGCTTATAACCAGTTGTGGGTTTATAAAGGCTCGTAAAGTTAGTTAACGAAGTAGTACAGTTATGGAAACAATCAGAGTTTTAAAAGAAAAATACAGGTTCAAAGTAGCTGTTAATCAATAGCGGGCATTCCTATTGATTCCCTTTACGTTTCTGAACTTACGTAGACTAAAATCGGCAATTAGTCGCTATTTCGTATTTCGAACTTAGAAATTTAATATAAAACAGACATCATAAACGATTTATCATTTTATTTAATATTAAAAGTATTATCTTTAATTCATAAAATTATATTTTGAAAGTTACTTCAAAAGTCGTCGAAACTCCATAACAAGCGTTGAAAAAAATTTTGGTTGTATCTTCTGACGGTCAAATGTTTTTAATTTGATAACGCGCCAAACTTTTAAACGTTTTAGATAAAAAGCAGTGTTTCGCTTGATTTTCTTTTGCCCGAATATTTCAAATTTTTACTTCATCTTCTACTTAGGAACATGTCATTCAGAAAATAAAAGTGTCGTCACAATTAAATGTAATGTATGTTTAATAATTTATTTATTTAAAAATAATAATAATTTCGGAAGGAAAGCCCAAATTATAAACCAACGTAACTTTACTTATCATAAATCTACTAGTCCTTACGGTGGTTAAAAAGGTACGAAAGAAATAAGTTTAAGGTATTACTTTAATAGTCTGTCTGACGTCTTGCGACCTTTTTACTTGAGTACGTAATTTAATTACTGTGATATAGGAGGCATAAAAATGCACTTCAAATGTTTGGATCATTTGTATATAAATATGGGCATACCATGGCATCATAATTTTAATATTACCTCTTGCAATAGGGCATAGGCATTCTTGTAAAAATATACCCGATTTTTTTAAATATTTTTTTCCAACTAATTAATAGTTTGAGAAAGTTTTGTTTTGGTAGGTATTAAATGATAATTAAGTAACATCATAACGATAAACGGAAAACCGTTATGTATGTTCTTCTAATGTATGTTGTACTTTGAATAGAGAAGCCAAGCGCGGGTTATCATGCAGATTGCGGCGAATCAATAGGGGCGCTCGGCCACTGACGGCGGATGACGATCAATAGCGTCCCAGTGGAGCTGTCTCCGCATTAAGGGGCTTCCTCGAACGCCTTTACATATATCCACAGGCTATCTACACTTCGTACGTCATTTTACGTAGCGTATATGTCACGATGCACTCAATTTCTGCATAGTGACGTATAACTGTTTTAAAGGTTTTAAAAAATACATTTGATTTTACATGATATTTTACCTACCCGTTAACGGTCCACTAACGGACTCTATTTTATAAAATAGGATGACAAACGAGCACAGAGTCGAGACACCTGATGGTAAATGAATGCTGTGGCCCATAGACATCTACATTTATCCTCAATTAAGAATCAAATTACAGATGCGTTGTCACCCAGGGAATACCTCATTTCCAGTAAAATAGGTCTCCGGTTCTCTACACTCACCATACGAAACACAGTAGCATTAAGCTGCTATTTCACGTCGGTATTCTGTGAGAGAGTGGTCTTTTCCCGGCCAGCGAGCCAACCCACTCGTGCTACAACCATAATAGCTGTAGCGTGGCTCTACTACATAAAACTGCGGTTGTCAACCTTCCCACCAATCGTGGCAACTCTAGCAAATATTTTCTTATGAGGAAATCTGTGGGGAAGGCCTATACGGTATTTTTTTGTAACCTTATACGGTATTTTTTTACAGGATAGGGTGACA